TATATATATATATACAGTATATATTTTTTTTCTATTTGATTCTTTTAGCCTATTCAAATAAAGTTTTAAAATAATATGAAATTTATAAATTTTTTTACTGATTTTCTTTAATATTTAAAGTAGAAATAACGATCACTACTTTGATATTAACATATTTATAGCGCTATTTAGTACAGATGTTAGTCATTTTCAATTTTTAAATTGTGCTTTTTTTTTTAATATGATATCATTAAACTTGTAAGCGTGATACATTTATCTTAATGGCAATTATTATTATAAATGTGTCTACATAATTGCATTAGCTAAGTTTTCTTCTACGTTCAGATCGCGTGATACAGTTAAGCGTGATTCTACGGAAAATTTCGAAAGTTTGGATTTAAATGATTAATAACAAACACATATCGGCTATTTTAACATCACAATAACCTTCAGATAAACACATAAAATTGTCAAATTTATAACTATAAATACGTGATATCAATTATTAGATTTCCTTATAATGGTTCATTTGCAATTTTGTATAGCCTATATATCTTAATCCACGTGGAAATTTACCATTAACCAAAGTGCAACCAATGTGATATATCTTTTCTTTAACGTGATCTTTTGAGTTTATATAGTTTATGTACAAGTATATTATATATAAATGTATATGAGAAAGAGAGAGAAGGAAAGGAAAGACTGTGTTAGGATATTTACATTATTAAGGCATGCTTAATTGCATTATACCAATTACCAAAATGCATATTCTAGCATAAAATATTTAAATTTCGTGACATAATTTCTGATTTCTTTTTGAAAAATTAAAAAAAAGTTTGATTAACAGTTGCATTTAAACCAATCAAAATTTGTTAAGAAAATGATTGTTTTTTTAGTAATTACAGTATCACTTTACTGCAAATATGCCCATGAAAGTATGTTTTAATTAGTTTAAATCCAACCTACTTTCAAAGAAATGTTGAAATCTAACTGATTTCAAATGAGTTTATTAAATGAACCTTAATTTTTAGAAACGTAGAATCTGTTATGTATAATAACTATTTGCATTATTTTTTAATTTTAAAAAGTATTCAATATAAAAAAAGAATTGACATTGAAAGAACGAAAAAATCGATTTTCTAAAATCAATTTTTAATGTACTCTCATGATTCTTTAACATATTTCATTCTTAATTCATTTATAGAACTTTTTTACAAGTGACCTCTGTTGCTCTATGATTCTAGTTCTCGACTCATTAAACAGTCTCATAGTTTGTCTAGATTCTCTAGAAGGAAGCAGATTTATGGCAACAATAAGCAAGTTACCAATGTTTTCTGCATTATTGAGTTGTCTTTCGTGGGAAAGGCATTACGTGTTGTTTCTCTCTCAATTTTATTTGTTGTCTCTTTGCCTAGCAACAAATCACTTTAACGAGCTATAAATGCATCTTTGGGTAGCCCATTACTTCAACAAGTAATTAAACATAGAGAGAAAATCTGTATTTCACTCTTAAAGTTCAAGAAAGTGATTTAAATATCTCTATTTTAAAGAAAAATGTGACAGCCCAAGTTGATTGTTTATAATTTAAAAGCTAACATTTGCTGCAAATATAAGATAAAATGGAATGGAATAAAATATCATCTGATGACAGATACGAAACCGAGCGTGAAAACCAAATGTGGATGAGAAATGGTGACCTAAATTACTTCATTATTGATTGTAAGTTTAGCGATAGTCCAGATACCCTTTTTAATTTATTTTTTTGCCCGATATGTAATCGCTAATAACAGGAATATTTGTTACATATATCTATTTTATTCGATTATATACGATACAGGAATATAAGCGTACAGATCTACTTCTTTTAACTGAAAAATAATGAAATAAAGTAATTAAAGTTTTGTAATCTGTTTGTCTATAAGATTTATTACTTTTTTTACTATTAATTTTAAATTCTTTGATCTTGTTAGTTATTGATAATCAGCTAAATAGATTATAATTCACCACCAATAGCGTATCCAAACTAACAGACAAGTAGCGCCCTCGAGCAGGCCAAGCTTCAAATGACGAAAGGAGCTTCCAGTTTAGACGTCAGCTGGTCTGGTTTGAAGCTGCTTGGAGTGTCTCTGGTTTCCGACTGCTCACAACTTCTTTTAAAACCAATCATGCGAAGCACTGACTCTGCACGACTATCTGCTTGATGCGTATGGAATGCGATACAGGATGTCTTTTTCGTGGCCAAAGCGGAAAAAGTGCATTTCCCATACTGTTCACGGTTGTCAGTTAAGGATGAAAAGACCGAATCAATGTGCGGCAATTTGAAATATTATTTCATATGTAGCTGACGATTGTTAAATATTTCGACAATGGTGTAAGATATTGAACAATGTCTGCTGCCTTCATGACAATACAAGGCTATGTATGTCAACTGCTATTATTTTTCTTCGCATACCAAGTAAAAACTCAAACTATCAATGCTGTTGACTGTGATCGTTTTTTTCATACAATCACGTGGAATTTTAACGACAGCGATGTCAGAAAGTTGAAGATGGAACTACATCACCCCTTCTTGTCATCTCATATAGGAGTAGTACCTAATACAACATACACAGGTAACATTTTCTAAAGTAAAATTTTATTATTATTCGCTAAGTTTAATTTATTATTCTTAGTTTTTTTTCGGTTTCAGTGAATATAAATTTCATGTTTCTTAAAAATTTGGTAGTGTTATAATTTCTATACATTTTTTTTTAATAATTAATTTGATTTACTTCATTATCAAGTATTCTCTTTGAGAACATTATTGATTTATAAGTTAAAGGAAGTAGTTTTAAAGAAAAAATTATTATAAATAAGGAAGGTGGAAAATGTTTTGTCTAGTTTCTGATTTAGATCAATGACGCTCTTTGCTTTAGCTTCTCTCACATTCATCCTTAGCCAAGACCTGCTGCACATGACTCCTTCAATTATTAAGCAATTCGCACAAGTCTACTCCACAGCAGAGATTTTCATAAAAGAATATTTCGAGAAAATATTACGATACAATTCCTAAATTATCATAAAAATAGACGTTAAAGATCAATTGTGATAATGCTCTTAATTAATTGTCAATATTTGTTTTAGGAAAACAGTTTAATTTGTTAATGGATTTGATAAGGTTTATTTTGATACAAATATAAGCAAAATTAAATCATATTAAATATATTAATTAAGATTATTCTAATTTAATGTTTATTTTGATTGTTTCACGTAAACAAAAATATTTTCTTTGCGGAAATATTTCCTTAAGAAATCATTATAACAATATGTAAATTTATTATGCTAAACAATACTAAAGTGTTTGTTGACTTAAAAAGAAATTAGTTTTATCAGAAAGTTTTATTGCGGATTAACTCGAGTGTTTTTTTTTCTTTTTCTGAATTTTAAAGCACGATAACAACTAAGAAATTATATTAATAACATTTATATATAATAAAAAAAACCCTCAAAATAGTTAACAAAGCTTTATTTTTTAAATTATTCTCTAAGAATTGATCAATTGCACATTGTACTCCAGTTCATCGATACTTGTTCGCACAATAAAGATTACTATCCATTATTTACTTATTATCTCCAGTAATTTATAAGTAATTCAATATTAATATGATAAAAAAACTTCCAGAAAAAATTAAAATTTTTCAACTGAAATGTTATCTTACTTTGCTAAATTATATAATAATCTTTAAATTAAATTTTATCAAGTTAATTTGGTAATATATTACGATAACGCGTGGGTCAGTACGTAATGGTTTGTTAAAATAATTTTGATAAAATATTATTTTGATTAAAAGAAAATTAGTCATTGAGAAATACATCAAGATTGATAGTAAATAATTGTTTTTCAATTTTTTTTTTGTTTTTTTAAATTTGCTTTGGGCTGAAGTAAACCGAAATTCAGGATTCTTGTGTTGTCTAGCAAAATATGAATTCCCTCCTGGAAATTCTTTACAAGAATATATTTCTTCCGAATGCCACACAAAAAGTATATAAAAATCATTCATACAAAAATTATGAAAAAAAAAAAATATATATATATATATATAATATTCTAGCAGAAATATAATGCTAATAAAATTTCATTTTGCGCTCTGATGATATTGTTTATTAATTTAAAAAACTTAAATTTTATATTTTTAAACAATATAAAAAATAGTTGCCATTAAATTTATATTAATCTCTTTACTACTAATATTTAAGTGAGGAAAAAATTCTAGTTTTTCTGAAAATATATAAAAGAATTCTCTAAAAAAAATTACTTTATATATTTTAAGTTTTTTTATATATATTATTGTTATTTATTTATTTATTTCTCGCCCTGTTTTTCAGAAAATATCAAATTAACACAATAAGTTTATATATTTTGAATGTAAAAAAAATGTATTCTGAAATGCGAAAAATTGTGTTTAAAATAATAATATACTTTTTTTTATATATAACAAAGTTAAGTTTATACATTTAGAAAATTGTTTATTTAAAAGAAATCTCTGCATATTTCAGTCTGCTAAAGTAAAAATAATGAGAAAGAAAATAAATAAATAAATAAAAATTTGTGAAAGTTGACACACAGTAAGAACAAGGCTCTTTTTCTAATCATTTTATCGACGCCATAGTTGAAAGTTAATGTCAACCACGTCGTCAACGGCTGAAGAATAAATTAAGTTAGTGGATTACAACAAATAGAATTGGTTATATTGAAAGAATGAATTGTCAACTTTTTGTTTATTAGAACTTAAATGCATTGAATTCAGTACTTAAACTTTCTACTTTAAAAGATTTTAAGTTTAGTAAAACTATTATAATTTATAATCTAACTAAGCAAAATGATTAAAATATACTCTTAATTGCATTAAGAAGTGTAAACCTTATACCATTTTTTACTTCTGTATTGGTTGTATTGAAATTATATTATAAAAATACTATATAAGTGTAATTAGAAATATCAATTATATATAATAATTTCTTTTTAATATTATTTCAATTTAGATTTAATAAAATAGCTTAAAATTCTAGTTTATTTTTATTATAAATAAAATGAATTTTGCGTATTTAATAAATGAAAAAAAGTATTGAGAGCAAGCAACTCCGAAATTCGCTTGAGAGTAATACACGATTAGTAATTAATGTTAATTTAATTATAAAGAAATGATGAATGGAAACATTAATAACTTTTTTCTCGACTAAGGTACAGAAAAGATTTATAAACTGTAAAAGTTTAAATTATCTAGATCTCTCTTTTTATAATTTTATGATAACAATTATTATCCCTGTGGAAAATTAAAAAGTTTGGCGTGGGTGTGGTATACAGGATTATTTGCCACACCCTGTCCACCCTTTTGGCCTTTACTTTAAACAGAAATGTATCATCTGGAAGAGTGCTGTTTATTTACAGTCGTCTTTTCAGTTTTATGATCATTTCAGATCATTTTACAAAAATATTCATTTCAATTATCTAATTAATTAAATGAGTCAAGCGAAAATGATAGATGATCCATATTTATGAAAATAAAGTGAACAATGGCGAAATTATTTTTATTTATTTATTGATGTAATTTAACTAAAATATATTACTTTATATGAATTAATTATATACTTAAATAGAGTCGTATTAAAATATTAATCAATATTTTGTTCTGATTAAGTTTTATTTTTGGTAATTGTTTCGTGTCAAGTTTACAAATAATAAACTTTTATTAGGATGAAAATTTATTATAATGCTAATTAATTTAGGGAAATTAATTTGTGAAAAATTCTGATTATAATTTTTTTTTTCTTTCGCTTACAAAGTCGTCATCATTAAACTTTCGTTCGCTTTTTTAATTCAAGTTTTTAATACGTTTTAAAAAATTCTAATTTATTTATTTTAACTCGAAAATATATTTTTTTTTTTTTACAATCAAATTCCTCTTTTATAGAAAGAAAAAAACATAAAAACAAAAGATATAACCCCTTTATATTTTACTGTTCTTTTACTCTTCCTCTTCCACATTACAATATTTCTTCGAGTAAAATACAAAAATTTTTATTCTTTTTCTCATTAATGACATTTTCAATATTTCTGCAATACATTTTTAAATGATCTATTGAATTTTGAACAGTTTGAAGCAACTTTTTTAATTAAACTTCTTCTTTTATTTATAACTAAGGCCTATTGACAACTTTAATTTAATATTAAAATTAATAATTTTAATAGTTTAAATTGATTTATTATATGGACATAGTATTACGAATATATTAACTGTTTTTCTTTAAAATTTCTACATCTAAATTCAAGACGAATGGTTATAAAATTTCAGGTCAAAACGTAACGTTCGTCGATAGATTAATGCATTGTGAAATGCGAACCTAAAGATGCTAGCGAATGTATCTATTAAGATAAATATTTTATATTTATTTAAATATTACTTCTTCTTTTTTGTTTTATTCGCATAAATTTATCGAATTTAAATGTAGATAAAGTGTTACTACGTTAAATAATATTTTTAAATTAAAATAATAAATTAAAGCTTAAAGTTTTAAAAGTTTTACACTAAAATGTCTAAATTTTAACGAGTTTTAAATATTAAATTTTTCGTTTTATTTTTCATAAAAAATATTAGAAATGTGCGAAAAAATAAAATAAAATATAACTGAAATTTGCATCTGTAAAGTGTTTGATACGTTGACATGAAAGAAGTTAGTCGACAAGATGAAATTTTTATGAATTATTTTATATTTTAAAATTCTTATTTATAGAAACTGAATGCAGTTTTGAGTTGATAGCACTATAAACAAACTCGTGATGTGACGTATAGCGGCCATAACTAAGAAGAATGATTCCTTAATAAATAATAAATCTTCTCTGACAAATCCATATAAACATATAGGATATATGTATAATAATTTTTATAAAAATATTACTCGAATTAATTACTACGAATATATTTTATAATTAATAAGTTAAATATTAATATAAAATATATAAAGTCATATTAAATCATTTTATTGAAGATATATAATTAAATTTTACATATATATATAATCGTTACTGTTCGTATTAGGAGCAAATTAAAGTAGTATATTTATGGAACTTTTATTAATTCTTATCTTCGTTTAATTTTATAAATAAGTAAATAAGTTTGCATGAAATAAAAAAAATGAAAGTAAACTAGAATTTATTTGAATTTTCTTTTGTAATCAAAGTCAATTCTTTGTGTAAAGATAGCAACGACGAGAGGTAATTGATGCATGCTTTTGATCGATTACTTTGATTTTGAAATTTAATACGAAATTGTGATCTGGTTGAAAAATTATTATTTACTTCGCCTTAATAACCGTTAAGATTAATGATTTTTCTTTCTTTCTTTTAAACCTATATATAAATTTTTCAAAAAAATCCTTTTGTTTATATTATTATTCACATCTTTGTAATATATCAATTTATTCTTTTCTTTGATAAATCAGAATAATGATCAAAATTTCGTAAAAAATAAGGATTATTATTATTGATTTTTATAGCATTATTGATAATTATTTTCTATAAATATAACTAATTAAGAGAAAACATGTATTTAACAAGAAGCATATAAATCTTATAAAATGTAATGAGTAGAAAGTATTAATTTGAAGATTGAATGCATAGTTTTTCAAGTTTGAAAGTACAAGAAGTACTTTAATTAAAGTATTTATTGCATTTTAAGTCAGAATTTTTGGCAGAATTATTCGCTAAAATGAAGTGCCTTCACGTATTTACATACTCTTCGATCATTCCTTTGTGAAGAATTTCATTGTAATTTTTGTTCTTTTGTTAAACTTGCATTTAATACATGCCTAAATAAATAAGTATAAAATTGTTAATATTAAAAATATAACAATAATATAGCAATTCTTTGGGATAATTACAATTATTAATTTAAAAATTGAGGAAGCCAAATATAAAAAAAAAATCGAAAAAATTTCCATTTTTTTTATCTATGACGCCTTTGTACCGAAGTGGAATAATAAAAATACACGTACACGAACAACAAATAACCATCAACAACAGTTACTAGTACAGTCTTTTATATCTTTTATCCACAATATTCCTCATTGGATCACAGTTTGCATAACTGAATAGGATGCAGTTAAGAAACTGCTAGAGATAATATATTTATCGTTATTGTTTCGCTTGTATTTTATTTAAAGAAATAACGGCATTAATCTATAATTATTCTTATTTTGAAGCATTAAAATGGTTAAATTATATCTTGAAAACAATTGAAAAATATCCATTAAAATAAAAATAATACAGCAATAATCTACCTATTTACAATGCTTCTTTATTATTAATATGCATGAAATGGTTATAATTTATAATTTTATGTAATGAGCAATAGAATTAAGACTGCTAATTTATTCCTTTTCAACACAATTGATTGAATAATAAGCCCACCTCAAAATGTAAGTTATTATCAGTTTTCTTTTTATAATAAATAGCAGACCCCACCACGCGTTGTTGTGGCTCAAAATGTATCTATTATAAATGTATAATACTTCCCCCGTGGGGGGAAATTTTTCGAAAAATTTCTTCTTAGTGTACATTCTCTTGACGTACTCTATTAAAACGCAATCAAAAACGCAAAAACCCGCATCTAAAATAGNTTTATTTAATAAGAATTTAGAAAGAATTCTTCAATATTTCTTTATAAACTAAGTAATTGAAGATGTCGAAAATGCCTGCTGACCTACAAAAGAAATCAAATTTAATGTCTTGCGGCATTAGGAGAAGATCAAATTTTCTTTCAATTCGTTGAAAACTAAACAATTAAAAATATTTCTGAAATTGGCGTAGGCCCACTGTTTCTTATTATAAAATTACTTTTTATTATATTAATTCACTTTTGCATTAAAAGAAAATTTATTCCTGATAGACGAGACAATTGTAATTATATAATGCCTATGTTCAGCTACATGTAATGGATTATTGATAATTTTCAATGTTTAATTTCTAAATTTCTGGACATTCGATAGGATCAGATTATAAATTACACTAATCAACAAATTAACAAAAGAGACATTGTATAACAAATGCATTTGATTAGGGCTATCGGCTTTCAAATTCATGCGATGAGATGCTACACTGATCATAACATCACTATCTTTATGACCCCATGTCAGATTACGGAATAATTAACGTCTCCATTATGCAATTTTCTAACAGATCATACGCTACATTGATATTAAACTACAATTTTCAAGATAGAAAGTTAATGTAGTCATTATTAATTATATCTTATCATGTGAAGCCACTTAAAATTCCAAAGATCCTTTGATTGGAATCAAGTAAGAATTTTAATCGTTCTTATTTTATTGTGAAGAATTACTTATTATATTTATACGAGAATAGTTTAAATCAGCTGTTGAAATAATTTAAAAGTTTTTTGGTTCTTTCAACATGAAATTTTTATGTAAATCTGTTTCTCTTGTTTTATTATATTATATGATTTTTATGATAATTGGTTCGTATGAATTCTAACAAATTATATATTTATTTTCAGTGAAAATTGAAATTCCAAATTTTGAAGAAAGTTCGCAAGTTTTCGTAACTAGTTTGCCCTCTGGTATATTCACAGTTAACTTAAACACATCAGTGCCTTGTGATGAATCTAACAGTTCTCTTTTAACTAATATTATCGAAAAATATGTTATGTTTACCTGGAAATCTCCAGCAGAAAGAATAATCAACGACACTCTAGATTTTATGTAAGTAAATATTTAAAATAACTAAATATAATGTTGACAGATCATTTAAATTTTTTAATAGAATTTGTTCCTGAAGTAATTTTTAGTTTATAAATAATTCTCGTCTTTACCAAATTTAATTGAAATAATACTAATTAGTATTATTTATATTAAATTATAAGCATTATTAAATTAATTTTATATAATAAATTACACGTAATCTTATTATATACTAATTTATCTTTAGGCTATATAGGTTAGGAATAATTTCAAAAGATATAAATTTGAAATTAATATAATTATGTTTGAATAGCTTACTTATTACTTATATATAATATATACCGTAATATAATCTCAATTTTTTATATAAATATACTATTGCATACAAAGGTATATGTACCTAGTTGAAGATAAAACGATTGTAATAAAATGTTTTAACTTAGGGTTTTTTGAAACCTTATAAATATTTTTATATTTTAAATAACTATTAATCTATTTGTTGCACATGTAAAGATTCCGTTTCAATTGGCATGCATGCCACGTAATGTATACTTGGTATGACAGGGGATATGGAATTTGCAATCTATATTGGATGTCATCCAAATATCTGAAGGCATACTGTACGTAATGTTCTTTAACAAAACAATTCCTCAGAAAAAAGTTCAAAGGCATAGTGATAATGCAAGCTATCAATGTGTCATCATAGAATAATTTATAGCATTTTCTTTACACGCGGATTGCAATTTTATCTCAATCAACAACACAATATATGGGTTAGAGATATGCTCAATATACCTGGTACATTTATCAAATTGAAATTTTGTATATATATATCCCAGCAACAAATATATTTCATGTGGAATGACGTCTATAGGTAACCATAAAAATATATATAACAACTTTTCTCAGTTATGTTATCTGTGAATTATATAAAACTATATTATTTTTTTACCTATCTTCTATTCTGATATTTAATCAACAAATACATAAATTAAAATTAATAATGTTACTTTAAATTAATATCATAATATTATATAATATAAAGTACAATTTAAAGGTTTATATATTTAAAAAAAATTGAAAAATTATATTATCATTAATTCTTAATTATTTAAAGGCTAATATAAAAATATTATTTTTCTCCCTGTCTCTCTGAATCTATATCTTTTGTAGTTTCTTTCCCAAGAGAGGTCATATCTACTTTTATTGTATACGTTCTTCATACCTGTGCCTTATATATTAAAATTTATTCTGTAAATATCATTTATCAATTTACATTTATAGTGTTATTATTTTATAAAGTTAAACAATCGGATGTCTTACAATGTTATTGTATTTGTATTTAAATTGGATAGATATAAATCTACTGATGGTTCTTAATTTGTTATACAGCATCTGAGTTTAGAAACAACAAACAATTATAATGCGGCTATATATTTAAAAGATTATAAAGTAGCAAGCATGAAACGTTTATTAAATTTTTCTTAGTTTTATAATCTAATTTAACTCGTGAAGAAGTCCACTTAATTTTGTTGTTATGTTCGGTATGCAGAAAGAATGTTTTACACAAACTGATTATATTCTTGAATAAGAAGAAACTAGTAAATTTTATAAGTTTTAATAATGCAAACAAATTATTTATATAATGTAACATTTTGTTTACTTTATGTTGAAATTTTTCAGTAACCTTACAAATAAATTTTATCAAAATCATAAAAAAAATATGCAATTGTTTGAATATTAGAAAATTCAAATGAACACAAGATAAATTCTTGATTAAATATATTATTCATAATTATAAAGCTTAGTTTTCAGTTTAGGTTTCTTTTTATTATGCCGTATGGAATTAATATTCAGATCATGAAAATTATGAGATAAATTCATCATAATTGAGTAACTTTTTCTATATATAGGCCTATATATATATGTGAACAATTAAAATACATAATTCATATTTCAACATAAAAGCATTTGATATATTACTTAAAATATGCAAAAATATCTCGTTCAAAAGTTTATATCATCTAATGTAATATCGCATGATAAATCTAAGGTGATTCTGAGTAAAATAAATTCTGATCCTTGATGTTTTCAAAACTAAAATGCATAATTTACATCATTCTTTTGGGGATTTTTACTTTTTTTTTCTCATTAATCTATCACGTCTAAAAAAATTATTTGCAACTCTGTCAAATTTAGATTTCGGATAGTTATTATGCGCTCATTATTCAGAATAGAATAATGAGCGTATAATAACCCACCAGAATCTAAATTTGAAAAGCTCATGTTACAATGGAGAAAGTATCGAAGTTGTTGAGTGGTCAATATGGAGAGGAAAAACGTATTCTATTATTGAAATTTATATAAAACTAAGATATTTTTTTAGCGAAATATGCTCAATACGTTGTCTATTCTTTTTTAAGTCACTTATTAATTCTTCTTTTCTGTTTCCTCTGGACTCTTTCAAAAACATCAGGTTCGATTTTCTACTTCTCTTCCATTTCTCTTTCAAGTATTCGACAAAAAAAATGAATTGATAGGTGCATTGAAAAGAATGGGTAACATTTGACCATACTTTTTAAAATAAAATGGCTGAGTTGTACTTCACTTTCAATAACGTATTTTTCCTATGTTTTTTAACTTTTAAATTCAATAAATCTTTGGTTTTTATTACCTAGTTGAAGATAAAACGATTGTAATAAAATGTTTTAACTTAGGGTTTTTTGAAACCTTATAAATATTTTTATATTTTAAATAACTATTAATCTATTTGTTGCACATGTAAAGATTCCGTTTCAATTGGCATGCATGCCACGTAATGTATACTTGGTATGACAGGGGATATGGAATTTGCAATCTATATTGGATGTCATCCAAATATCTGAAGGCATACTGTACGTAATGTTCTTTAACAAAACAATTCCTCAGAAAAAAGTTCAAAGGCATAGTGATAATGCAAGCTATCAATGTGTCATCATAGAATAATTTATAGCATTTTCTTTACACGCGGATTGCAATTTTATCTCAATCAACAACACAATATATGGGTTAGAGATATGCTCAATATACCTGGTACATTTATCAAATTGAAATTTTGTATATATATATATCCCAGCAACAAATATATTTCATGTGGAATGACGTCTATAGGTAACCATAAAAATATATATAACAACTTTTCTAAGTTATGTTATCTGTGAATTATATAAAACTATATTATTTTTTTACCTATCTTCTATTCTGATATTTAATCAACAAATACATAAATTAAAATTAATAATGTTACTTTAAATTAATATCATAATATTATATAATATAAAGTACAATTTAAAGGTTTATATATTTAAAAAAAATTGAAAAATTATATTATCATTAATTCTTAATTATTTAAAGGCTAATATAAAAATATTATTTTTCTCCCTGTCTCTCTGAATCTATATCTTTTGTAGTTTCTTTCCCATGAGAGGTCATATCTACTTTTATTGTATACGTTCTTCATACCTGTGCCTTATATATTAAAATTTATTCTGTAAATATCATTTATCAATTTACATTTATAGTGTTATTATTTTATAAAGTTAAACAATCGGATGTCTTACAATGTTATTGTATTTGTATTTAAATTGGATAGATATAAATCTACTGATGGTTCTTAATTTGTTATACAGCATCTGAGTTTAGAAACAACAAACAATTATAATGCGGCTATATATTTAAAAGATTATAAAGTAGCAAGCATGAAACGTTTATTAAATTTTTCTTAGTTTTATAATCTAATTTAACTCGTGAAGAAGTCCACTTAATTTTGTTGTTATGTTCGGTATGCAGAAAGAATGTTTTACACAAACTGATTATATTCTTGAATAAGAAGAAACTAGTAAATTTTATAAGTTTTAATAATGCAAACAAATTATTTATATAATGTAACATTTTGTTTACTTTATGTTGAAATTTTTCAGTAACCTTACAAATAAATTTTATCAAAATCATAAAAAAAATATGCAATTGTTTGAATATTAGAAAATTCAAATGAACACAAGATAAATTCTTGATTAAATATATTATTCATAATTATAAAGCTTAGTTTTCAGTTTAGGTTTCTTTTTATTATGCCGTATGGAATTAATATTCAGATCATGAAAATTATGAGATAAATTCATCATAATTGAGTAACTTTTTCTATATATAGGCCTATATATATATGTGAACAATTAAAATACATAATTCATATTTCAACATAAAAGCATTTGATATATTACTTAAAATATGCAAAAATATCTCGTTCAAAAGTTTATATCATCTAATGTAATATCGCATGATAAATCTAAGGTGATTCTGAGTAAAATAAATTCTGATCCTTGATGTTTTCAAAACTAAAATGCATAATTTACATCATTCTTTTGGGGATTTTTACTTTTTTTTTCTCATTAATCTATCACGTCTAAAAAAATTATTTGCAACTCTGTCAAATTTAGATTTCGGATAGTTATTATGCGTTCATTATTCAGAATAGAATAATGAGCGTATAATAACCCACCAGAATCTAAATTTGAAAAGCTCATGTTACAATGCAGAAAGTATCGAAGTTGTTGAGTGGTCAATATGGAGAGGAAAAACGTATTCTATTATTGAAATTTATATAAAACTAAGATATTTTTTTAGCGAAATATGCTCAATACGTTGTCTATTCTTTTTTAAGTCACTTATTAATTCTTCTTTTCTGTTTCCTCTGGACTCTTTCAAAAACATCAGGTTCGATTTTCTACTTCTCTTCCATTTCTCTTTCAAGTATTCGACAAAAAAAATGAATTGATAGGTGCATTGAAAAGAATGGGTAACATTTGACCATACTTTTTAAAATAAAATGGCTGAGTTGTACTTCACTTTCAATAACGTATTTTTCCTATGTTTTTTAACTTTTAAATTCAATAAATCTTTGGTTTTTATTAGATTACAAAAAACTGTTCAGTGAAGAATTAAATTGAATTACAGTAATTAAATTAATAAATAATATATACCTTACAGACTATTACAATTTACTGTATTTATAAGAAGCATCTTTAAACAGATAATAAAATACATTTCAGGTAAATAGTCCTCTAATTAATTTAAAATGATGATAAAAAATATTTTATTCAAAATAAAAATAAAGTAACGATTAATTTACATTATATTGCTAGCTTTTTCGTTAAAAATTGATATTTGTTGTTATAATAATGTTTATAGAGGAATTTTATAATAAATAAAAAATGTTATCTAAATAAATAAATAAATAAAGTAGGGGTCCCATTATGGCTTACCATGTTTGGACTATTATTTGATCATTTTCCAATAATTTCTTGGAGAAAAATTGGAGTTAATCAAAATAATAATCCAAAACTTGATGAGTTAATGGGACTTATATCTTATTTACTGATTCAAAAATATAATTTTTGAAAAGTTAGTTATATTTCTAACACAGTAGTTTTGAAACTTTCAACATTTGCAGAGTCATTTCACTAAATTCAATTTTCTCGGGACATCGCAATAAAAATGTCTTTTAGATAGAAACGAAACAAATAGATATTTGAAAACTATTAAATTCATGACAATGGGCTGGGAATTTGGCTAGGAAAACAGATAACAGGTGGAAAAGAATCATAACAGAGTGGTATCTAAGAGATGAAAACGTTTGAGAGACAGGCGTGGAGGTGAGAGGATAAGATTTAAAAGACAGCTGGTACCCAATGGAGAAGAATTGCTGATAATAGAGATGTGTAGAAATTAACGATATAGACTTCTGTCCGGAAATGGACTAAATCAGAGCTGATCTTGGTGCTTTTAAAACCATATTTTAATTTTAAACATTAAATCGAAAATATTTTCAGAATGACTATCTTTTCATAGTGTTAAAACAACAGTTTTATTTTATATTAAATATACTTGCTGTATATTCATAAATACCACGTAGAACCACAGAATTCCGTGAAGAACATTTGGAACATCGCTATTTTAGCAGAATTAGATGCATGTGTTTAGAATAATTATCGATTTTTCAGAACTGTCATCATTTCAAATTATGGTAAACGCTATACCACATTTATTTGATTTATCTGTTTATTCTATGTAAATCCCTTTAAATCTTCTATTTTTATTATTTTTTTAGTTTGTTTCTCTTTCCTTCTCTTAATTTCATTTAATAAAGAAAATTTATTTCAGTTCTTCGATGAATCGAATCTGATATTGTTATTAGTTCTTAATATATTAACATAGAAATCGAAGGATTCTTTTAATTACAGTAAGAGTCGTGAATTTTATATGCATCTTAATTAACAAATAAAAAATTGGGCCATTTTTTAAACTGTCTTTATTACACAAAAGCTTTAGATAAATAAAAAAATTTATGTTGTTTACGTTTTATTATAATATTTTTTTTGTAATTTTCCATTTTTGCTATTTATAACGAAATAATAATATAGTCATTTAAACTGAATAGTTTTGAAGACATTTCAAAACTCTTTTTATAAATCAGTCTTTCATATGTACGTAAAATAAAATTCAGAAAGGGCTTTTTTAAGGATAAATTGCAAAAAACTACTTTTAAAGAAGCTTTAACAATTAATAGAAAATTAATTTTAAGTAGATTTTTCTACAATTGTTTTGTTTTATTATAGAAAAAAAATCTAATAGACAATTAAAAACTAGTCCCAATTGTTAATTTTCAACAAATAATTTTATAATTATAATTATAATTTAGTAAATTATTTGTTTTCCTTTAAATAACAATCAAAAACTTTTACTGAAATTTTCACTAAAAAGTTTTTTTACTGCTCTTTATTATGATCAGTTACTTTTCCACTAAAAAGTAAAATTTTTACAATATATTATGTATCAGTATATGGTGTTATTTCATGAAATTTCGAGAAACTTTTCACGAAAATGAAAAATAATTCTTCATTTTCTTTTCGGGTTACGTCGTAGTTTTTAAAATATTTTTCAATATAATAGTTTTATAGACTAATAATACTCAAACATCTACTAATGAAAAGTCGCTGTATATCCTATCATGATGAATTAAATAATCATCTGAGTTTTTCTAATCTTATGATAACATTTTTTGTTACGGTTCAGCTTAGTTCACGAATTTCAATATTGTTCTTAAACTTGTATATATATATTTTTTTTTATATAAATTGTTGCAATGACATAAAAGTTATTGCAACAATTTATATCAAGAAAATCCAGCAACAATTCTAGAGCATTTGATTTTTTTAGAATCTGTTTCTAAGAAATAGACTGCAGCTGTAATTTCAGCTGCAGCTGTCTTGAATGTTTTCTGGAGTATCGTATCCCTTCTTATCTTTCTTTTATATGTCACAATGTAACAAGTATTTCCACTAAATTTGTAACAATTACTTCTGACCATTTCTTTTACAAGTAAACATTCTATATATATATGTCTATCAGATCGAGTTATAAAAAAAATCCTCCGAAACATCATCAAAAGTATATGTGTTTAAGATTGAAAATGATAAAGTGTATCTTTAGTTCACTTTATTCATTTAGAAAAGGCTAGATATATAGTTTAGTGTACGTATATTATATACTGTATATATTGTAGAGATGTATACAGGGTGGAACACAAAGGGCTTGTATTCCTTCACTTAAGATTGGTCTTTATATCTAACCTTTCTATATATATATATATATATATATATATATA